TGCTGATAGGCGTTGCCGTGGCCCTCGGTTGCAGCCTTCATTTACATCTTCCGTCATGAACCGTGGTGAACACCTTGTAATGTGATGATTTTCACGCAAGTGGATTTCTGTGAAACGCCTGTTCACGTCTCTTTAGCGGTTTCCCCGTGGTTTGTCTCTCGCCTGGTGACTCTTGGGAGTCCTTTGTGTCCTTTGGCACAGAGGATCTAGGATAGCAGTTCCTCCCGCGCGTGCTGAGGTGCTCTGTCGATGGACGGGAGTTCTTCAGCGTAATCTGTAATGTACTAGTCTTTCCTCTGTGCTCGCTTCGCTGCTTGGAGATTATGACAAAATCCCCCAAAGGCCAAAGTCTCGCTCTTCCGTATCCTTTTCCCATTTTGTCCAGTAGGCTGGATCGTTGAGTAACATCAGCAGAAGGAGGCATTGTTGCCTTGTTGCTGATTTTGTCGGCGCTGCTTGTAAAACGTTACCATTAGAAAGGACGTTTGCCGGAGCGGCATTTAGCCTGGCAGGTTAGACGCCCACACCCCCGCCAGGGTAGCCAGGTTCGGTTCCCAGCTCCGTGCCGGTGCACACGCAGGGAGGCAGCGCTGGCGGCTCAGGTAACTGGCCTCCTGCCGCTCCTGTGGGGGCCTGGGTTGTGTTTCTGGCTCTTGGCTGCAGCCATGGCCATTGCGGGCGGTTAGGAGGTGACCCAGCAGATCGGAGCGCCTCTCCCTGCCCGTGTGTTTCTCTAGCCCTCAGACCGGCACATAAACATTTTAAAAAGGAAATGATGTTTGTTCCGGGTTTCTGATGGTCAACTATTACCACATTGTGGACGTTTATTTTATTTATGGTTCTCCTCTGGAAAACTGATGGCCTCACTGCTCCTCCTCCGGTCTCCAACCTTCTTGGAATGCATGGAGTGTACAACAGACGTCTTTATCATGCTTGATCGGATTAGCAGTAGTTCCTTAATATCGTTCAGCCTGTACTCAAATTTCTTCCACTGCCTAAAACATGCCTTTTATACATTATTTATTGAAACCAGGCCCAAGTAAAAGTCCATCTGTTCTTTGTTTCTTACATGTTCTGTCTCTTAGTTTTCATTGTCTCCCTTAATCTACACTAGCTGTCTGTCTTTTTGTTTTTTTATTATATATATATATTTTTTTTTTTTTTATTTGACAGGTAGAGTTATAGACAGTGAGAGAGAGACAGAGAGAAAGGTCTTCCTTCCATTGGTTCACTCCCCTAATGGCCGCCACGGCCAGCGCTGCACTGATCCCAAGCCAGGAGCCGGTGCTTCCTCCTGGTCTCCCATGTGGGTGCAGGGCCCAAGGACCTGGGCCATCCTCCACTGTCCTCCCGGGCCACAGCAGAGAGCTGGACTGGAAGAGGAGCAACCGGGACTAGAACCCGCGGTGTCTGTGCCGCACGCGGAGGATTAGCCTAGTGAGCCACGGCGCAGGCTAGCTGTCTGTCTTTAAGAATTGCTTTTCTGTGATGTTTTGCTGTGAAGGGTCGTTTATTAGTTGGTTTATTAGTGACTCCTTCTGCAGTTCTTTAATTTGTTGCCCTGGTCCTTGCTTGTCCTTAGAGCGTGTGGATCTGATGCAGAGGATAGTTCTCACCGTGTTTTTGGCTGGCCAGGCTACGCATGGTCATGAACACTGGGCTTTGTCGCTTTAGTGATCCGATGTTAGCAGTGCGTTAGGTAGTGACAGTCCGATCCCTTCCTCGTAAAACCCTCATCTGTCTTCCACCTGGTGATTTTGCTGTCCACCAGCGACCACTGCCAGCATTTGTGATGAACTGAGGAACTATGTGATGGAGAAGTTTAATTCCACCATTCCTTCCGTGCTCAGTAAGTGACAGGACCCTGTCTCGCCTCTGCTATTTGGTTACGTTAAAGCAGAATGCACTGTAGCGTGGCAGAGTAAATCCTCACTTCTCACCCTTTATGCATCTGATTTCAGAGGAGTTGGAGCCTTTACCAATTCCAGCGCTATCCAGGGAATTTATTTCTCTTATTTTTTTAAGATTGAGGCTCATTGTGAATTCATTGTTTTTGGTAGGTTCCATGTATTTTAAGAAATTGCAGGCTTATTTTTATATAAATTTTACTTGAAGCATAATGAACCTGCAGATGATTTCATGAATCATTACTAGAGAGCTCAGAGCAGCCTTCACGAGGCGGGCACATCTGGATGGCAGTTGCCGGGAGCGGTAAGGACAACGGTGCCAGACCCAGACTCGTCTTCCTGTTCCCTTAGATGCACCTGCTCCCAGGAGTAAGCACTGCCCCGCCCGCCTCCTCACCATTGAGCTTACTCCTGGTCTGGAACTTTATATAAGTGCATCCCAGTGGTGTCTCGTTCACGCGTGACTTCTGTTCAGCGTTGGGTTTCTGAGGGATCACCTGTCCTGTTTCATGCAGCTGTGGATTGGTTACTGTTGCTGCTGCCTTGTAGTCCAGAGTTTGAATTAAGCCATAGCTTCTCACGCTGCTGTTGATGGGACCGGAGTCGTTTCCAGTATGAGTGTTGCTTTGTCTTATGCATGTTTTTTATGTACCTGCTGTTGTTTGGTTGTGTACTTTGGAGGGCAATGGCCAAGTCATAGTGAATTTTCAGCCTTGGCTGGCACTATCAAGTAGTTTCCCAAAGCTCGTGTTTTGGTATCAAGATTATGCTGATATCGGAAGCACTTTGGGAAGCGTTCCCCTTTTCTGTTCTCTAGAAGAGTTTACGTAGTTTTGGTGTTTTTTCATTCTTCAATGGCGGAGTTCACCATTGAGGCCATTCAGACTTACATATGATGGAACAGGTCATTATAGATTCCATTTCCTGGTAGACACAGGGCTGGTCATATTTTCTGCTTATTCTTCGGTCTGCCAAGCGGTCAAGAGACTTGCAGAGAGGGCAGTTCAGGTTCGTGTGGCATGACAAGTGATTTCAACTCCAGATTCAAGTTCAAGTTCCTGTGGCATTCCACATCTTTATACATCTTGTGCTTTGGGATCACCTGCAAACCTAAGCTCTTGGCGATGTTGTGGGCCTGTTCAATGCATCAAGCAGGCTCGTTTTCTCCTCGCTAGAGCCACAGGTAGAAACCAGGGTAAAAAATGCAGAAGACCAACCAAAACAATAATTAGGAAAGAATAGTTATATTTAAGTCTGAAGCACTCGTTAGTCTCGAAGAATGGAAACCTTAAAAGGCAATTTATATGCAGACACTCGTAAGGCTGGCGGTACACCAGGCTGCATCTGTTATGAGCCACCAAAGACCACCAGCGGGGAGGATTTTCCTTTACCTTTTTCCCCTCCTAATTGCCGCGCCTTTTCCAGCTTCCTTGTCCAATTAATGCAGATGGAAGCCGTGTTCTTATCCAGAGCCTTGTCCGGTGACAAGCCGTGTGCTTTCATCCCGCCAGCTCTGACCTGTCAGAATCTCAGGATGTCAAAGCCGGAGGAGCCCTCCGGTGCTGTGCGCATGCATTCATTTTCTTAATGAGGAAGCTGACGTCTGGGAAGGAGAAGGGGAAAGGAAGGAGAAGGGGAATGTTTGGGGTTAGCTATCCACGCATCCACCCATCCATCCATCCATCCATCCATCCATTTACTTAACAGATGTTTATTAAACAATGAAGGACACAAAGATAGGCACGTGCCCTTGTTGTAGTTAATCAATGAGTTAATCAATACATTAAGTTAGAGGACGTGTTGTGTGCTTGGAAGGAAATACACAAGGTTCTGTGGTAGAAAACGCATGGCCCTCTTTGATGGTTGTGTTGTCTTAGTTTGAGTTTCCCTGTGAGTGGATCCTGAGACAAGGATCTACGTACAAGTAGCTTGTTTAGGATGTGGTCCCAAGAAGCATCAGGCAGAAGGGGACATGAGGCAGGGGAGAGAAAGCAGCCCATTAAAGGTGTGTTACCTTGCAGGTCATACAGAGGCCAGCCCTGCGGGCTCTAGGAGGCAGTGGAGAGCATGCCTCTTCACTCAGGTCTGAGGGGCTTGGGGTGTTGATCCATCTGTGCCCATCAGTCACCGGGGAGAGCTGCTCCCTGGGTTCCTTCCATTCCAAACTGTTCCCCGCTGCCATGTGGGGCAGAACAGATGCCCACCATCAGAGAAAACCCTATGGCAGAGACACAGGGCCTGCAGAGTGTGGATTAAAGCGGTAAGACCAAGGGGAGATGGGTGGGGGTGCTAACAAGACTATGTTAGCCAGGGTTCTTCAGAGAAATAGAACAAGGATGTAAACATAGAAACAGATTTATTGAAAGGGACTGACGCACCCATTTATGGAAGCTAAGAAGTCCTCATCTGCAGTCAGATGGAGACCCAGGAGGGTCAGTGTGGGACCAGCCTGACAGCAAGCAGGCTCCAGGCCCAAGAGGAGCTGAGTTGAGTCCAAAGCCATGGTCCAGCTGGGGCAGACAGGCGGAGCTCCCTCTTAAATGCGGGGGACAGCCTTTTGCTCCATTTGGGTATTCAACTGATTGGTTAAGGCCCACCTGCCTTAGGGAAGACCCTCGACTTTACTCAGCCCACCAATCAGATGTGACCCTCATCCAGGACACTCTTGCAGACTCCTCACAATGATGTTTGACCAAACATCTGGATACCCCACGACACCTAGACTGAACCATCACAAATGTGGGCTGAGAAAGCATCTTTTTGGAGGAAGAACACAAGCCGAGACTGGCAGAGCTGCAGAGGCAGGATCTAGGAGTGGGCTGGGTTTGCTGAGTGTGACTGACCAGAGTCAGCAGGATCGTTGGTCCCCAGATGTCCTGGGTGCCAGCATGTGCCAGGCGTTAGAGGTAAGGGAGTGAACAAGGCACAGCTTGGGTCCCTGAGAGCTAAGGCCTTAATGTTTGTGTCGCCCCAAGATCCATGTGCTGAATTAGCATGTGAGCACCAAGGGGGTGGGGCCTGTGGGAGGTGATGAGGCCGTGAGAGTCATGAATGGATTATTGTCTATATGAAGGATGTCCCAGAGAGACCTAGTGGCCCTTTGCGGTATGGGGACACAGTGAGAAACAGCTGCCTGTGAATCAGGAAGTAGAGAAGATGGCCGCCTATGAACCAGGAAGTGGAGAAGATGGCCGTCTGTGACCCAAGAAGTGGAGAAGATGGCCGTCTGTGACCCAGGAAGTGGGGAAGATGGCCGCCTGTGATCCAGGAAGTGGAGAAGATGGCCGCCTGTGACCCAGGAAGTGGAGAAGATGGCCGCCTGTGACCCAGGAAGTGGGGAAGATGGCCGCCTATGACTCAGGAAGTGGAGATGACCACCTGTGACCCAGGAAGTGGAGAAGATGGCCGCCTGTGATCCAGGAAGTGGGCAAGATGGCTGCCTGTGAACCAGGAAGTGGGGAAGATGGCCGCCTGTGACCCAGGGAGTGGGCCCTCACCTAACACCAAATCTGCCTGGGCCTTGACCTTGGACTTGACCTTGGACTTGCCAGCCTCCAGAAGTGAGAAATGCATGTCTGTTGTTCCTTATCCTCAGGCCACACATTTTGTCACTGCAGCGCAGATGGAGGAAGACAGAACAAGTGCAGTAGGCTCTCCTGCGAGTTTCTGTGAGTGAAAAATAAGCAGTTCTCATATCGGCCAGTAAGGTTTGGGGGTTATTTGTTACACAGCATAATCCAGCTACACTGATTGATGAGCTGTCTTGTTAAATGGCAAAACCAGTCCTTTCACTCCATCCCTTTAACATATACACACAGACACACATGTACACACACATGCACACAGAGGTGCATGCACAGTACTCCCTTCTATCTGCTCAAACCCTGCAGGGCTCCCCGCTGTCCCCAGTAAGACATAACCTCTATATTAAGGCCTCCAGGCCCAGCATGGTCTGACCTGCCCCTACTCTGCAGGGACCAGCATCCCTTGAAGCTACCAGTCGCTCCCCACCGCAGTGTCTGCATTTGCTGTTCCTTCTGCTGTCTCTCCTGCTCTCCCTGGCCCTCCCCTCCTGCCTTCCCTCTGACATTGCTTGATCTTCTGGTTTCTGTTAAAGTTCACTTTGTCACCGCAGCCTTCCCGGCCCCAGATGTGTCCTGTCCCGTGCTACATCTTCTTGGAGCCCTCAGCCCCTCTGCTGTGAGTGACAGATGCGAGCCTGTCTAGTGTCAGGCTTCCCCATAGCTGTTGGGATCCCAAAGCCAGGGCTGCTGTCTGTCTCGTTTTTTCTGTTGTCTGTGGTGCACAGCATTGGCTAAGACAAACAAGAGGCCCCCGGTAAATATGTGTCGAGTGAACAAATGGGTTTTTCTGTCACAGTTCCTCTGGAGTGCGCTTATTAAATGCCAGCTTTTCTTTTAAAAGGAGTCTCGAGTAGACACAGAAGTCGCTTCTGTTCAGCTCAGATCTTTTCTAACAGCACCCTCTCATCCTCCAGTGACGGAGGGATACTGCCTCCAAGAAACGCATCTCCTGCGGTGCCCGCGGCTGCAGCTTGGGGAGCGCTCTCACTGGGAGCAGCGCGGCTCGGGGCAGTGTGCTGTCATTTGTTCGCGATCACTTGGCAGCCTCAGCCTCTCTGCACCTCTGACTCCACGTAATGAACAAGCCGGGGACGGAATGACTGTTCCAACAGCTTAGCACGGCTCTGGCTGCAAGAAGCCTGCTCTGCATGGCAGAGAGGTGCGGAGACACCCCTGTGTCTGTCGTCTATTCACGAAGGCATTTGTGCGATGATGGTTTCGTTTGGTGGGAAGCCGGGGGATTTGGGCAGCTCTCCGTGGGTGTTGCATAGCAGGCTGTCCTGCGTTTTTGGCTGACTTGGCTGTGGGTGTTTACTGTGCAAACATGATTGTGACCTTGTGGGTGGGAGAGAGCCCACCTGCCCTTCCTGGGATTCTTCCAGCACCCCAGAGCCTCACGTGGTGATATGCACAGATAGTCGGCCCCAAGCCCACTTCCACTCCCTGCATCGCTGTGCTTCCCAGAAGGGCCTGCCCTACAGAGGGTCAGAGGTCATGCAGATGGAACAAACGTGTAAACTTGAAAGCTTGCTTCCTTGCCCTAGTCCGGGAGAGCTTTGAGTTGGCCTGATAGGCAGTTGCAGTGCAGCGGATGGCACAAGTGAACAGGCGAGCCAGTATGAGGGAAAGCAAGGGTGGAAATGGTGGCAGAGCAAACTGGACCTGTGTGCCTTCAAAGCCCTCACTCAGGGGCTGGTGTTGTGGTGTAGCAGGTTAGGCCTCTGCCTGTGATGCTGGCATCCCATATGGGTCCCAGTTCAAGACCCGCCTGGTCCACTTCTGATGCACCCCCCTGCTAATGTGCCTGGGAAAGCAGCAGAAGACGGCTCAAGTGCTTGGGTCCCTGCCCCATGTGGGAGACCTGGAAGAAGCTCCTGGCTCCCGGCTTCAGTCTGTCCCAGCTCCAGCTATTGCAGTCATTTGGGGAGTGAACCAGTGTATGGACGATTCTCTCTCTTGCTCCCCTCCTCTCTCTGTAATTCTCCCTATGGGAGCTTCCTCACAGCCCAGGGGAGAAGCACACCCTGGAGGGTGTTGGTTTCTCAGATCTGGAGGTGTAGAGAAGCCAGACCGGTGCGGAGGAGCAGCACCGCGACTCCTGGCCCGGCCTGAGCCCAGAGAGCGGGACAGTTACTGGCCAGGTCATCACTGCAGCTGGCCCGTGGCCTTGCGGGTCATAGGAACTTGGTCAAGTCACTGGACTTCTCATCCAATCCGTGGCAAGTGTCTGCTCCGCTGCCCTCCCAGGGCTGCCATGAAATTTCGAGAAAGGCGAACCGGAAAGAACTGCGCAGGCACACGCGTTATTGTCTAAGAAGCTGATGACGGTAATGATGGATCGGCTGGCTTCCGTCCTCACAGTTGGAAAATCGGGCATGGTGACAACCTCCCTGGGTTGTCGTGAGAACGTAAATCCCGTCTGGGACGTGGCGGGGCTCCTGCTCCTCCTAACTCCCTCGCTGTCTGGTTCTCTCTTTCATTCAGCAGGAAGGAGAGAGCAGGTGGGTCCAAATTACAGTAAAATGGCATCTGATTTGGACATTGAGTAACTCCAGGGAACACTGCACGCATGTCGTCTGCTTCCTCTTTGAGCTTGCCCAGATGTTTGATACGCACACGCGTGTGCATGTGTGGATAAATGCATACACACACACACAGAGACCTTGCTTGCAGGGCAGCTTCGTGGGTGTATGACCTGGGCAGTCGCACAAGCTGCACACTCGAGGGCTCTATGCTTGGTTTAGTGCTCTATCACCATCTTGAAATTTTAAATAATCTTTTTGTTTATTACACTATATTTTTTGAGAGTTGTGGGGCTGGGGGGAGACCTTCTATCTGCTGGTTCATTCCCCAAATGGTCACAATGGCTAGGGCTGGGCCAGGCTGAGGCCAGGAGCCAGGAGCTTCATCTGGGTCTCCCACATGGTCCAGGGACCCAAGCACTTGGACCATCTTCTGCTGCTTTCCCTGGTGCAATAGCAGGGGCCTGGATTGGAAGAGGAGCAGCCAGGACTCAAACCGGCATCCATATGGGATGCTGGCACTGTAGGGGTGGCTTAACCCACTATGCTATAGCGCTGGCCTCAGTATTTTATTTTTAATTCACAAAATCTGTATTGATGGTGAACAGCATATTTTGATATGAGTGTGTATTAATATATTCATCACCTCATTTATTTATGATTTTGTGGTTAGAACACCTTATGTTTATTCTCAGCAGTGTTTAAGGAGTACACAGTCACCGACCACAATTACCACGGCGTATAATAGATGTCTTCCTCCTGTTTGACACTTTGTGTCTCTGACCAACACCTCCCCATTTGCTCCCCACCTCCACCCCTGGGGACCCCCACTCTACCCTCTGCTTCTCTGAGTATAACTTTTTAGGTTCCATGACCTCCAGGGAAACAAGGTCACGCAGTATGTGTCTTTCTGGCTTAGTTCAGTTAAGAAGCGTCTCCAAGGTTCATGCATGTTGTTGCAAATGATAGGACGTCTTTCCTTTTTTGAAAGCGAATGGTATCCATTGTGTAGATAGATCAGTTTTCTTTACCCCTGCCTTCGTCTGTGGACACATGCGTTGATTCCGTGTCTTGGCTGCAGGAACATGGAGGTGCAGGTGCCGCCTCAGCGTACCGATTGCATTTCCTCTGGGTTTATGCTTGGTGGTGGCGTTGCTGGAGCAGAGGGTAGCTCTAGTTTTGGTTTTTTGAGGCGCCTTCACGTGGTTCTCCACTATCTGACCTAATGTCCGTCGCCTCCCACAGTGCACAGTGGTCCTTTTTCTCCACCTGCTTGCCAACACTTATTATTTTCCGCCTCTTTGAGAACAGTCATCCTAACAGGTATAAGGAGATAGCTCATTGTGATTTTAATTTGCATTTCTTTGCTTAGTGACGCTGATCATTTTTTCATTTATCCGTTAGCCATTTTCTTTGTATCTTTTAAGAACATTTTTCACTTTATTTTATGATTTGAAAGGCTGGGCGTTGTGGCACAGTGGGGTCAAGCCGCTTCTTGGATGCCTGTATCCCGCGTCAGTGTGCTGATTTGAGCCCTGGCTCCTCTTGCTTCCACTTCTGCTTCCTGCTAATGCATCTTTGGGACTGCGGATGATGGCTTGTGTGGAGACCCGATGGAGCTCCTGGCTCCTGGCTGTTGTGCACATCTGGGGAGTGAACCAGTATATGGCCCATCCCTCTCTCTGTTTCTCTCTTTCTCCCTCTTCCGCCCCACGGCCCTGCCCTCTCCGCCTTCCAAATAAAAATAGATAAACATTAAAAAAATTACAGGGGTCAGCGCTGTGGCCTAGTGGGTTAAGCCTCCATCCACGGTGCTGACTGGTTCAAGTCCCAGCTGCTCCTCTTTCTGATCCAGCTCTCTGCTATGGCCTGAGAAAGCAGTGGAAGATGGCCCAAGTGCTTGGGCCCCTGTACCTGCGTGGAAGACTGGGAAGAAGCTTCTGGCTCCTGGCTTCAGAACGGTCTAGCTCCAGCTATTGTGGTCATTCGGGGAGTGAACCAGTGGATGGAAGACCTTTCTTTCTGTCTCTCCCTGTCTCTGTCTGTAACTCTACTTCTCAAATAAATAAATAAAAATCTTAAAAAAAATTACAACTTGAATATCAGTTTCCAGTTTAGCTGGCTTTAAACAAAGGCAGAGAGAGAGAGAGAAAGAGAGAGAGAGAGAGATTTCCTATCTGGTTGTTTATTCTCCAAATTCTTGCCATAGCTGCAGCTGAGACTGGGTCAGGCCAAAGCCAGGGGCTGGAACTCCGTCCAGGTCTCCCATATGGGTGGTAGGAACCCAAGTATTTAAATCATCTCACCTGCTTGCAGCCTGGCCGTTAGCAGGAAGCTGGAATTGGGAGTGGATCCAGGACTCCAACCCAGGCACTCAATTCACTCATATGAATTTGGGGGTAGGGGTGCTGTTGAGTTGTCTGAGCTCTTTGCAGGTTGTGGATGTTAACCGTATTAGATGTGAGGTTTACAGTCATTTCCTCCCGTCCTGTAGGTGGATGTTAACCGTATTAGATGTGAGGTTTACAGTCATTTCCTCCCGTCCTGTAGGTTGTCTCTTCA